GCTGGTCTTGAACTCACTATGTAGCCCAGGCTGGCCTTGAATTCGAGGCAATCCTCCTGCCTCAACCTCCCAAGTGCTGGGGTTACAGGTGTGCACCAACACTCCTGGCACTATACTAAGTTTCTGATACATGGAAAATTTGCTATTGGTCAAGTATCTGGAAGCTTTTGGAATATATTTCAGGCTTTGATAGTACCATCTAGGGCAGTAGAAATAAACCGGCAGGGCTCAGTCTGTGAAATGTACAGGCCAGTTTTTCAGTAAAGAGGCCTAGACCTGTCAGGAATTGTTATTTTTATTATTCTAATTTTAGGGTGATATTCAATAAAATATCCTAAAGTTACAAACAAATATCAAACAAATATTTAAATAAATATCACAGAAACTGGTAGCTACTGTATGAAAACATTGCATTAATTAACCTGTCTGTAAATATACCTGAATGCTGTCTTGGAAAGAGCACTGAATCAAGAGTTGGGTCACTGGATTTTTATCCAATTCTAGCTCTGCCACCTACCAAATGTTTTATACTAGCAGGGTGTTGAACCTCTCTAGTTTCTTTCTCCAATTCTAAAGTGGGGCTTTGAACTTGAAAGTCTCAAAGTGTCTTTCCAGCTGTACTGTTCTTTGATTCTCTTTAACTCCACTCTTTAAAATATAGAGAAAAGGATAGGTAATGTGTTTAGACTAAATAGCGCAAGTCATAGAAATTCATGAACTGTGGATAATGTAATAACTACTTCTGGCTTTTTGTAAATCATAACACAGAGTAATTAGTCTCTTGAAGAAAGTCTTGGTTCTTATTAATGGGAATCATTTCATTAGAATTTATGGGGGAAGATATAATCATTTCATCAATTTTTTTTTGGTTTAGAATATGTAGCATGGTGTTTTTAATAACACAATTATAAGATTAGTACATGAACCATAAACCTAAATTAATAAATTATTATTAAGTAATTCAGGCTAAAACAACATTTTATGTGCACTATTCATATTATATTTTATATTTTCTTGCAACATCTTTTTATGTGCTACCTTGGTTGAGAATTGCATCTTGAAATTGGGATCACCAACATGTTGACTCTTGAGAATCTCCCCAGAACTTTCCAACAAAACCTATCAGAATAGACAATACCTTTATTGACTTATTGATGAAATAATATCTGAGGAATGAAAAGACATAAAAAACACAAGGCTTGTGTGCCAGTTAGCCCAGGGTTTCAGATTGGGGCATTTCAATGAGTATTTTTATTGTGTGGTATGGCCTTCAGATTTGTAAAAATAGAATATTCTACAGTAGGTCATTTGTGATGCCTTTATAACTCAGCTCAGAAAATATGCAGACTAATAGCATCTGGAAAATTGTTGTAAAAGGTTAAGTACGAGATAAATAGAGGCTAATAGGAGTGAGTTTTATGGGTCTTGAAGCTTTGAAGTGCACAGCATCAATGTTGCTTTCAAGTGTTTGTACAAAATTGTGACATCTTGGAAAGGGCACTGAGAATTGTTTCACAAAACCGTGGTAGTCAAGAGCACTTGTTGTGTGATACTATTTCTACTGGAAAGAATAAATTTAGGCACAACAAAAATGGGAGAATTTAACCTTGTTCAAGAGAAGGCACTAGAAATTTATGAAGAAACGTGTTCTTTACAGAGTGTTCTGCTAAGTTGTTGTATCAAGAGTGCCCCTGTTTTGCTAAAGTTATTCACATGTTTGGCATTTTATTAGTTAGAATCTGGTTTACTGTACCCAACAAAAAATTCTAGTTAAATAAATAAAGTCTTACTATCTCACAAAAATATTTCAGTATTTGTCTGGGGCTGGTGTGGCAGATCCATAAATTTGTCAGAGACTCAAGGACTTTCTAGTTTTCTCCCTCTGTCTTCTAGGTTGTAGTTCTTTCAGAATCCAGGGTGGCTGCTACAGCTCCAGCCATAGCTTTATCATTCCAGATAGTAAAAGGAGGAAAAGTATCTTTACAGATATCTCCAGGAGTTTTCATATGCCACTTTGGTTTGCCTCCTTTTGACCAGAACTTAGTAGCTGTGGGCTACCAAACTGGAGATGTGTGTCCAGTTTTTTATGTGCAGTCACTTGGCCAAGTAAAAATCATGGGCTTTATTACTGAGAAAGAAGGGCAGAATAGATAGTGTGTTATAACTTGAGGTTTCTAAAACATTCAGCCATTTATTCCTTTGTTCCTTCATATTGTGATTCATTCTTTTGTTTTGATGTGCTGGGCACTGTGCTAGGCACTGGTGGGCCACTGTTTGTGCTCCCAGCGCATTTCACTCTGTTGCCTTCAGATTCCAGGAGGGTGAAATCTCTGCCCCCAAGAAATCTATTTTTTTAGTAATGTTTACAGTACATAATGTTTACATTCCTAGTGTGGAGTTAATACAAGTACATAGCATATCTTCATTTCTTTTTACATCCCCTCCACCTCCCTCCATTACAAAAGTAGCTGACTTAGTCCTGGAGCCTCCCTTATGGTTATGATCTATTTCTTGGTATGCCAGTGCCTTCACTAATCTCTTAGAGCTCCTGCTGTCCTTCCTTTCTGAAATTGGTGCCCATTCTGTAGGGAGTACAGAACTAACTTTTCCTTCTGTGTATTCTTTGTGACTCTGGGAAGAAGCTGGTATTTTTAACCAAGTGCAGTATCATGTCATAGGAATGCATGAAGGGAGTAATGTTGAGGTCAGGGTTCTGAATAGTAGTGTGGCTTAACATAAGTTTCTTGGGATTGATTTTTGAGGGAAGAGAGTCTCTCTCTCTCTCTCTCTCTCTCTCTCTCTCTCATATGCTGGGGTTTGAACCCAGGGTCTCATACATGTCAGGCAAGTATTCTACCACCACTCACCTATCCTCCCCAGCCCAAAAGTCTCATGTTTTTAGGGGTTCTGAAATTTCCTACATTTTACATCTATTTACTCACCGTGCTGCAGGTGGAGGTCTCCTCTGTTCCATGACTGTGCTATGGGCTGAGGGTATGAGGACATGTGAGATGCAGCTTCTAGGAGGGGACCCATGAGAATCAATGAGGGAGCTCATCTCACTCTCCAACCCCACCTCCCCACCCTGGGTTTGGGTGCCAGTGCTTTAGGGGAACAACATAGGGAGTGCCTAACTCTCACTGGTGGCAGAGCAGGTGGCAGAAAGACATCACAAGGAGGTCACTTCTGAACTGAATTTTGAAGGATGAAAGGGAATTTTCTAGGGCAAGCATGATGGAAAAGAAGGGAGGAAGAGTGAGATAGACTGCAGGAACTATATGAAAAGTTGTGGAGTGCTTGGGCCATTCCATGAGAGGGTATAGATTGAGGGTGGACTGGAAACCAGCATAGAAAAGGAAAACCACCAGCACTTAATAGAGAGGCAGCTGAGGAAGCAATACGGTGACAAAGGAGAAACCACTTTTTTAAAGCATGAAGGAAACAAGGTGAGAGGTGTTTCTGGAAGTCAAGGGAAGAGAAGTTTTCAAAAGAAGGGGTCATTTGCAGCAACAGATGTTGCGGATCAGATGAAATGTCCGGGTAATAAAGAAGAAGCTATGGGCTCACAGTCAGGATGCATGAGTGACCTCAGCCCCTGGGTTCAGGAACTGGTGGGACAAGAATAAGTAGGTGAGATGGTGCAGACAGCAGGTGCTGTATGGCAGTGACAGGGGGTGGGAGGAGACTTGGGAAGCTTGGGTCCTGTGGAGAGAGTGGAGTGGGTGTGTGCAGTTGGGCAGGGGTACACAAGAGCCCACACAGGACCAGTGGGTAGAGGGAGCTCTGTCTGCAGGTATTTTCAACAGGAGGGAGTCGAGAAAGATTGTGTCAGATGTCTGTGACTGTCCCTGTGGAGAAGGAGGTGGGAATGAGTTGAGGGTGCTGGTGGAGGGATGGAGAGGAGCCTGAACTCCCATTTTCTTTAACAGATTTCCACCATGGTCTGCCCTCACAGCTAGCTGGAGATAAGTATTTGAAATGAAAGACACATGTTTTAAAATGATTTGCGTTTCCACTCTTTCCTCAGCCTCCAGTGAGAAGGAAAACTCTCAGCCTTTTGTGGTCTTGCCGAAGGTGTTCCCGGTGTACCTGTGGCAGCCCTTCCTGAGACACGGCTACTTCTGCTTCCCCGAAGCTGCTGACCAGAAGAAGTTCAGCACGCTCCTGAGTGACTGCATCAGACACCTGAATCACGGTAGGGCAGAGCTTTTCTGAGGCATCTTGGTCAGTCATCTGCTCCCATGATTCTTAGAAAGAGCTGCTGTGGTGCTGTCCCAGGGAAGGAGAGGAAAACAGTGAATCAAAGGTTCAGTCAGGCCTGGGACATCTCAGGGAAACCACATGTGAGCAGGTGTGGGTCTGCATTCAGACTGCTCTCTATTTATGAGCAATTTCTCTTCCTCCTCATTCCTGATGTTTTTAATGTAAATGCCAGCAAGAACGTACCAGTTGTTTTTGGAAAAATTCAAATACAGCATTTCTTGTTTATTTCCACCTTTATTTCTGAATGGTAGTCACTTAAGACAAGTGGCACAGTTCATTGTAATTTAATATTTGTTTCCCAATTAGCGGTTGTGTTAGCCTTCTAACACTGTAACAAATACCTGAGATAATCAACTAGTAGAGAGAAAATACTTATTTTGACTCACAGTTTGGAGCTTTCACTCCATGATTTGCTCTTGCCATTGCTTTTGGGCCTATGACAAGGCAGCACATGTTGGCAGGAGCATGTGTGGGAGCAAAGCAGCTCATCTTATGGCTGGCAGCAAAAAGAAGGAGGAGTGGGCAGGGTCTCACAAATGCCTGATCTCCTAAATGCTCATCTCTTAAAGCTTCCACCACCTCCCAGGAGACCCAAGCCACCAAGCTGGGGACCAAGCCCTTAACACATGGGCTTTGGGGGACACTTATCAAAGCTGTAGTTGTCAAAACTTGAAGGTTGCTGAGCCACTGAAAGAACTTAATTAAACACAGATGCTTGGGCTTCATCCTGAGACGTTCTGATTCCCTGGATCTGTGGTGGCCCCAGATTATGCTTTTCTAACAAACTGCTAAGTGATCCAGAAGCTGCTTGTCCATGTCCCCACCTCCACTCCAGGAGTGGTGCTACTTCAGACCACTTTCCCAATAGGTCCAGATTTGATTCCTATTATACCTGCAATAAAAGAGTCTTTTCATTCCAGTATGTGGTGTTTTTGACATTTCAGTATGAATGCTGGATTTTCTAAACTCCATAAAAATATCAGTTACAGATAACTGAACTCTGTGTTCTTTGGCAGCTGGAAATGCAGCCTGTAAAATACCGTTGAGGGCTTATTCCCTGCCAACCTTTATATGAGTGTTGGGGCAAAGTAATGAAGCATCAGAATTCCTGTCTCTGGGAGTCTAAATTCAAACAGGGAGGAAGGATAAAAATACCTAAAATATTATAATTTTATAGTTATTGAAGATAATGTGTTGAAGAATGACTGGCTAGTGAAGAAAGAGGTATAGATGGTACCAACTTGGCAATGGTTCATCTTAAGATTTTTCTAGTTTATAATTGTGCAAAAGTAACACACATCTGGGTGAGAGCCGTGATAGTCTCTTTCCATGCTAGACAGGGCAGCCAGCCACATGCTCGTGTGAATGAGCAACCAATACTTTGCAGTGTACGGTGTTGCTAGAGTTTTATTTGATACTATATTTTGTGATTTTGCATCCCGTCATGTCTGCAACATGCCCATCTCTGTGTGCATATGAGATAGTCAACATTTGATTATAAAATAGGGTTTATGTTTGGTGACTGTCCAACTGTCAGCTAACACAAGTGTTTTGAGCATGGTTTAGAGGGGCTAGGGTAAACTATGATGCTTAGTAGGTTAGGTGTATTAAATTTATTTTTGACTTATATTTTCAACTTACGATGGGTTTATCAACCAATGGTAATTCAAGGAGCACCTGAACAGTACTTTAAGTTTGTTCAGGAAGACCTCTTTGAGTAAGTGACATTTGAGCTGAGTCACCTCACCCAAGTGCCTTTATTTCCTACTGTGACTAACTTTACAGTACACTGGTTTTCAGGTTCAGATGTTTCCCCAAGTCAGCCCTACACAGTGACAGTCACTGGTGATGCACTCAGTCAGTTCGTGGTTTTAACTTGTGTATCAATAGGAGGTGAATGGAAAAAGATAATGCCACTCCATTTTGCTATGGCAACTCTGAGTAACAGTGGTCATAATATTGACTCTTAACTAGTTCAAGACATTACAGGCATGGTAACCTTATTAATATCTTGCCTTGTGTTTTTGATGTTTTAGAGACAGTGAATCACCCAGCACTGCTTATTGCATGTGGCTCATTTTTCAGTACACTAAACTCCTCCATGTTTAGGGTCTTGGTCTAGTATGAACTTGCAGTTGGCACTAAACACAAGAACCACGAAGTTTCACTGAACAGAGAATGTTCTTTGTCCAGCCAAATGGGACTTGCTGCATTCCCTTTTCCATGTACATAATAGGAATTTCTCTGGGGAGTTTTTGGATTATGTAGCCTGTGTTTAGACACCATTTATGGAAAATTTCACTTGAATCAAAACCCAACTCTGATCTCCAGTATGTCATCAAAGGCATGAAGATAATGCAGTTAGTAATGTTATCCTGTTTCTGTGACACATTCTTCTGTGCAGAAGCCACTTGTTCCTGAGACTCTATGCAGACAGCTTGGCAGAACTTTCATAGCTGTAGTCAAAACCATAGATCTTCATAACAGTATGGGAACAGTTGTTAGCTGTCATGGACCAGAGAGCTTATGGGTCTTTCTCTTCTCATCTCTTTTTTTATTTTTGATAGCACAATATACGAACTATGCTTACTGATCACTTTTCCTGTTTTGATGTATACCTGATATTCGTTATATAATGTTGAATGGACCAGTAAGAGGTTTCCACAGGCTGACATTTAGCCATTTTTTCCCGTACTTACTAGAAGAGTTTAGAAAAAGGGATAGAATTATGACTGTGGTAAGGGCCAGAAACAAAAAGGGCTTCAGGGAGTCTGCTATCTTCCTCCCCAGGGCAAGTAGAAGGGCTTCAGTCTGCTGTTGCCATTGCTTCATTGACTCTCAGGTGGCCACGTATCTCTGTGGAGAACTGGGTCCTAGACATTCAAGCACCTGGTGCTGGATCACAACTGATCCCACTTGGGATTCCCAGGATATATCCTCTATGCACTATGCACCTCCTTTCTTTAAGAGAGGGAACAGCCTTTAGGTACCTCAAAGATTATTTATACTGTTAAGAAACATAGATGAGTATAGGGAGCAGTGGTGCACATGTGTATTTGGTTTTGGTTGGTTTTGCACCTCTTTGTTGACCAGGCATGAGAAAACCTTCCAAAGTTAGTCTTCAGTAGAACATCTCACTCCAGCTTGCTGGATGAAATATTAAGTCCATTGCATGGTGTGTGCCTAGAGCAGCTGTTGCTGTCCATCTATTTTGGAATCACACAGCAATTTCCTGTCCCTTACCAGGGGAGACTAGGGTTCTGAATGTCAGCTCCCACAAAATGGGTTTTGCATAAATCCAAGATGTTCTGAGACAGTTCTGTATCCAAAATTCAGTTCTTATTCTTTAGACTTTTAGTTTGCAAAATATGATTATTATAGTTATAGGAATACAGTTAAAACTTCTAAAAAATATAGTGGGCTGAACATATGCCATATGGAATAATAATCATTATCAGTGCAAGTCTGCTCTTTGGGCTCAGGATAATTATTCCCTGGTATGTGAATTCACAGGAAAGGGAAAAAAGTGTTCCTGGCAGGAAGAACAGGACATATAAGATCTAGGAAGCAAGATAGAGCATGGACCATTAAAGGAATTGCAAGAACTTTGTGTAACTCTTGCTTAAGAAAGAGGAACCACGTGAAGATGGGAAGACTTGGCAGGATTCAGGCTCTAAAGTACTATAAGAATTTGGATGCCAGAACGTGGTGATGCAGGCCTGTAATCCCTGCACTCTAGGAGACTGAGGCAGGAGGATTACAAGTTTGAGCCCAGTTTGGGCAACTCAAGGAAACACTGTCTCAAAAAAAAAAAAGGTTAGGAATGTAGCTCTGGGTTCAAACAACAGTACCCCCCCCCCCCGCACACACACACAACACCAAGGGAATTTGGACTGTCTTAGTTACTTTTCTCTACCTTTCTTGTTGCTGAGACAAAATACTCAACACCAACAAGTTACAGGAGGAATGGTTTATTTAGCTCACAGTTTTTAGAGCTTTCAATCCATAGTTATCTGGATCCAAGGAAGGGTGGCAGACAGGCATCACAGAGGAGAAACAGTTCATGGTGGACAGAAGGCAGTGAAGCAGCAAAGTAGTGAAGGTGGAGCAGCAGCCTGCCTCTTCCTTTTGTTCCTTCTAGGCTACTAGCCCTTTGGGTGGTGCCACCGACACCCAGGGAGGGCCTTCCCATTATCCACATCCAGAACTATGCCAGACCAATCAGTGGACTAATTTAGTAATCACACACTCTTAATCCCAGCATCACACACCCTAGATCCAGCCGCCTCTGAAAAGCCCCACACATGATTGAATGAGACTGTGGGTGGGACATCTAGACACAAATCATAACAGGGACTTTATTCTAACAGCAATAGGAAACCACTGAAGAGTTTTAAGTAGACAAGGGACCTGATCAGATACTCACTTCAGAAAGGTCACAGTGACTGCAGCATATGTAGACAGTAGATGATGGGTGGCACACTGAGGAGCCAGCAGGGCACTTGGGGAGCTTTGTCAGGCAACAGATGGTGGTAGCATACACCAGAGAGGGAAGCATGAATGAGTGAAGGAATTAAGCACTATAAAGCCACTGTTCCCCACCTACAGGTTTAGGGGAATAGATGAGGTGGATGTTAGAAGGCAGACATCACTGCATGAATGGTGATTCTGCAAAGGAGGCAGAATGTTGGCAAACATTCAGGTGCTGTGCTAGCCTGAAGGACAGCAGCAATGCCACAAATAAGTGCTGGTTTTCATACCACCATGAACACTAAGGAAGAAGGAACAATATAATACTTATGATTCATGAGGGTAATGGGCTGCAAAAATGTAAAAGAATCCAGGGAATTCTGTCAAAAAGATCACCATGATATAAAGATACTCTGCAAAACCTCTTCAGATAGTTCAATCACCTATGACAGTCCAAGAGTG